TGGAATATGCAGCAGTTGTATGGTGCCCATATCTTAAGAAGCACATAAACAAACTGGAAAAGGTGCAAAGACATGCCACCAAGTGGCTCCCAGAACTGAAGGACAAGAGCTACGAGGAAAAGTTAAAGGCATTAAATATGCAAAAACTAGAAGATAGAAGAAACAGATGCGATATGATCACTACGTACAAAATAGTAACAGGAATCGATAAAATTGATAGGGAAGAATTCCTGAGACCCGGAACTTCTTGAACAAGAGGTCATAGATTTAAACTAACAAAGCAAAGTTGCCGGAGAAATATAAGAAAATTCTCTTTTGTAAACAGAGTGGTAGACAGTTGAAACAAGTTAGGTGAGAAGGTGGTGGAGGCCAAAACCGTCAGTAGCTTCAAAGTGTTATATGACAAAGAGTGCTGGGTAGACGGGACACCACGAGCGTAGCTCTCATCCTGTAACTACACTTAGGTAATTACAAGTGGAAACTTAGTACCCAGTTGAGCCAACGAGACGTTAGAAGGAATTTTTTCAGTGTCAGAGTAGTTAGTAAATGGAATGCACTAGGCAGTGATTTGGTGAAGGCTTACTCCATACACAGTTTCAAATGTAGATATGATAAGAGACCAGTAGGCTCAGGAATCTGTTCACCAGTTGATTGACAGTTGAGAGGCTGGACCAAAGAAACAAAGCTCAACCCCCGCAAGCACAATTAGGTGAGTAGAGCACTGTACAAGATTTCGAGGAGGTGTGGTTTGTTCTTCAGAGGCTTTGGGTCGCCTGTGGGTTGACGATCCAGCTCCGTTCGAACTGCTCCCCGGTGGTTCATTGTCTGAACCGGGGAGGCTCGATGCGGTCCTTGGCTCCTTGGCACTGGTTGCTTTGGGTTACTTGTCTGCTGAGTTCTCGGGGTTTGGGTCTCCTGGCAGTTCACGTGCGGGGAGTGTCCAATGCCTCGGCCGACAGCCTGTCTCTTTTTGTTCCCCTCTCCACGGAATGGACGGTTGACGCTGACTTTTTTCGTTGGCTTTGCTAGACGTTCGGACGCCCTGAGGTGGATCTTTCGCGTCGACTTGGTCGCAGTGCCCTTCCCCGACTGCAAGGCCATCGGGGTAGATGCCTTCTGGCAGGACTGGTCGAGGTGGGAGTTCCTTTACCTCTTTCCCCCCTGTTCCGCTGTTGCCCCGCATCCTGACTCGCTTGGGGATTTACCAGGGGAGAGTTGTACTCTTGGCCCCATGGTTGCCAGCCCAGCCTTGGTTTCAGGCATTGCTTGCTTGGTGTCCGAACCTGGAGGTTTTCCCACGGCTCCGCCTCTTCCAACAGATTGGACCAGTACGTCACATGGCTGGTTCGATCTTCTCCTCGAGTCTTCGCGTATGGTATTTTTGACTCAAGTTTATCATCATCTCTATGGTGATCAGGTGGCTTCCTTGTTAGTGTCCCACCTGCGGGCCTGTGGTTGATCCCCAAGTGCAGTTAAAAGCTCTGTACCTCAGGGTACAGTCCTTGCATCGCTGCTTTTCCTTATTCTCATATCAGATATAGACAAAAATATAAGTCACAGCTTCGTATCATCCTTTGCAGATGACACAAAAATCAGTATGAAAATTACCTCGGCTGAAGACATTGAAAAACTTCAAGCTGATATTAATAGTTTTCGACTGGGCATCAGAAAATAACATTATTTTACAGTGATAAATTCCAGGTACCCAGGTACGGTAAAAATGAGGACCTTAAACATAATACAGGGTATAAAACACAATCAAATGTACCCATAGTAGGGAAACAGCATGCAAAGGATTTGGGAATAATGATGTCTGACGACCTAACGTTCAGGGATCATATCAAAGCAAATATTGCAATAGCCAGAAAAATGAATGGATGGATTACGAGAACTTTCAAATCCAGGGATCCCATCACAATGGTTGTACTCTTCAAGTCACTTGTGTTGTCCCATCTTGAGTACTGCTCAGTACTCACTTCCCCCCTTCAGAGCAGGAGAGATTGCTGAAATAGAGAGAATACAGAGAACATATACGGCACGCATAGACGCGATAAAGCACCTAAATTATTGGGATCGTCTCAAAGCCCTCCAAATGTACTCACTAGAAAGAAGACGAGAGAGATATCAAATAATATACACCTGGAAGATACTGGAGGGCCAAGTACCAAAACTACACAGTAAAATAACATCGTACTGGAGTGAACGATATGGAAGAAAATGCAGAATAGAACAGTGAAGATCAGAGGTGCCATAGGCACAATCAGAGAACACTGTATAAACATCAGAGGTCCACGGTTGTTCAACACCCTCCCAGCAAGCATAAGAAATATTGCCGGAACAACCGTGGACATCTTCAAGAGGAAACTAGATTTATTCCTCCAAGGAGTGCCGGACCATCCGGGCTGTGGTGGGTATGTGGGTCTGCGGGCCGCTCCAAGCAACAGCCTAGTGGACCAAACTCTCACAAGTCAAGCCTGGCCTCGGGCTGGACTTGGGGTTCTGGGAGTTCTTCTACTCCCCATCAACCAGGTATCAACCAGGGCTTCGTCTCGGCGGCAGTATGAGGTTTCTTGGCGGTCCTTCCGGTTCTTCTTACATTTTCATCTTTGTATTTCGCTTTCGGTTAGGGTGGTGGTGTCCTTTCTCTCCTGGTTGTTCCAGGACCATCTCCTTATGCCTGATACTGTCGTTTCATATCGTGCAGTGCTGGCGGAGCCTTTTCAGCTTACTTTCGGTAATGATGTTACGTCTGCGCCATTTCGCAAGCAGTCTCTGGCGTTGTTTCACCTCTGGTCTGCTCATGTGCTGCCTGAGCTGTCCTGGTCTTTGGACAGAGTGGTACTCTCTTTTCTTTCTTCTCCTCGGTTTGTTGTGGCCTCTTCTGTTCCGGATTGTTTTTCGAAGGTTCTTTTTCCTGTTGGCATTTGCCTCTGGGAGTCGGGTTGGTGAGCTTCATGCTCTCCTCCAGCGCAGGGGTTTCTGCTTTTTTGGTTGGGGCGATCGCATTGTTCGTCTGCGGCCTTCTCCTACTTTCTTGGTGAAGAATGAGACTGCTGCTTTCTGGAGGGGTCCCAGGGATGTTTATGTTTGGTTGGTTAGGCCGGGAGTGCATCATGTTTTGTGTTGGGGAGCCGGTCGGCCGAGTGGACAGCACGCTGGACTTGTGATCCTGTGGTCCTGGGTTCGATCCCCATCGCTGGCGAGAAACATTGGGCAGAGTTTCTTTCACCCTATGCCCCTGTTACCTAGCAGTAAAATAGGTACCTGAGTGATAGTCAGCTGTCACAGGCTGCTTCCTGGGGGTGGAGGCCTGGTCGAGGACCGGGCCGCGGGGACACTAAAAAGCCCCGAAATCATCTCAAGATAACCTCAAGAATCCGGTTGCAGCTCTCCGCTGTTATTTGCGTGCCACGGCTTTTGTGTCTGTGTACGCGCTTTGGGTTGATCTGGTTTCCCTTCTTCCCTGTTCATGGGTGCGGGTCTCCCAGGTCATCCGCAGGGTTATTAAGGCTAGCCAGCCTGTGGTTGATCGCCGTGCCCATGAGGTTCGCAAGTTCGCGGCTCTTGCCACCGTCTTTGGCAATATGTCTTGGGCTGACATTTGGGCACAGGTATTTTGGCGGTTGAACAGGGTCCTGGCTGCTCGTTACCTTGTTAACGTCTCTGGGGCCCGACAGGGCCCCAGAGACGTTAACAGCCTGATGTGTGTCGCTTTGGGTCGGCGGATGCAGCCAGTTGTCTCGACTTCAGCTTGAGGAGTGAGCAGCAACCGCCTCCTGGGTAAGTCCCTCTTTTTTTTCTCTGTGGGTAGTTAACTCCAGGGAGCCGTAGGGGCTCCCCCAGAAAACCAGTGTTGAATGTAATGAAATGCCATTTTCTGGGTGAGACCCGGAGGCTCCCTGGCATCCCTCCCTCCCTTTGGTCGGCATTTTTTCGTGTGTTTTGACATCCAGCCTCAGAACTGAGGTGTGGATCACCAGCACGGTAGGTCTGGGGCTACCCCTTCCCCCTCCCTGGGAGGGTGGTGCTACGCAGACGGTGGTGTGGCAACAGGTGACATCATACTAGTTTGCTTGATTTTGTTTGGGGAGTTCTATCCACTCTTTCGGTTTTTGGTAACAATATTTTCACCAGAATAGGGGTTTGTTTTGGGATGCTTACCTTTCTGGGTGTCTGACCCAGTCGATGGCAGACATAGAATGTTCCAACCACACAGGGGCTTCTATAGACCAGTGCTTCCCTTGCCTCTGCCAGTCGTCCTCGGTAGGCCCAAAGAACTCCATACACATGACTGATGCAGAAGTCTGACATTAGCATATCAGCCTGGATAGCTCCAGGGAGCCTCCGGGTCTCGCCCAGAAAATGGCGTTTCATTACAGTCACGCTGGTTTTTATTTTCATACTCAGTAAACCCGTTCCCCATTTTCACTCTCTGGATTTTGTCTTTTACATCCAGCTTGCTTCTAATGAATTTATTGAAAAGGCCCGGTTCTGTTTTACATTTGTCCACTATACCTTTCTCAAATTTCTTTTCTGCCTCTCTTCTCACTGCTGTGTAATTGCGTCTTGCTAATTTATAATGCTAGTATGTTTGTGGTTTAGGCCTCATCTGATATTGAACCCATTTTCTTGTCTTTTCCTCTTTGGCTCTCTCACAATTTCTGTTAAACCAATCATCCTGTTTTCTGGTCCGGCATCTCTGTTTTGGTATGAATGTTTGTGCGCCTTCATTGTGTATTTGCAAAATTTGGCATACACGTGTGTATGCCTTATGCCTCACACATATTTGGCAATATATGTGTGACTCTGGATGTTACTACAGTATTGTACTCAGAAGTCAGTCGTATTTTCATTGTTACTTTATTATATAATAGTATTAATCATAATTTGACTACCTAATTTAAATATATCGTCATATTTTAGGATGCTATTTATACTTAGAATACAATGCTGAAGAAGAGACTTGCATTTCATAAAACGCAAGATGTGTAACATTACAGGTGATGCGGTAAGTATCATGAGTGAAGAAGGCACTGTGTATGGAGACGACACATCAAGCATATGTGGAGACTGGAGTCCTGAGAGTGGTGACCCAACTCGTGACCTACTATCTAGACCCCCTGATCCTCCTCCCCAAGCTGTGCCTAGACCACCACCACATGCTGAAGTTCAGTTGAGATACTTATTACAGGTAAGTTTTCTACAGCACTCTTCATTTCAGTAGAATAGTTGCATTGGGCTCAAATTTTGTATTTTATTATTGAAGCAGTTGTTCTGTGCTTAGGAGTTAGTGTGGTCTTGTATTTTTATACATGACTACACTAACATGCATCCTGTTTACAAAGACAGGAAATGGTATATAAACTCAATTTAACGGCCTATATGGGGCTGTACCCAGGTCCTTAAATGCAGGGCTCTGGTATTTCCGAAGTTGTTAACGGTAATATTTCAAGTAACATTCAGGTAAGATATACTGTATTTTGTACAGACAGCCACTTGGTTCACCACTCTAGTGCCTTCTACCCTGTGACGTCACAGATTCATGGTACATTGTTTTGATTTGTCATGAGGCTGGAGTGTTCATTCTGTGACTTTGTTGGACATATCTGCGCAATCAAGGAACATCCGTGCACCATGTTGGCTCCAAATGCACTCGTTGTGTCAGTGATGGCTGACTGGTGGGTGGATGGGCAGGCAGAGTGGGCAGGCGGGCAGGGAGGGAGAGGCTGAAATGAAGGCAGGCAGGCAGGGAGAGGTTGGGAGGTAGGCAGGAAGGGAAAGACAGGCAGATAGGCAGACAGAGGCTGGGTGGTAGGCAGGGAGGGAGGGAGGGCGTCAGAGGCTGGGTGGTAGGCAGGTAGGGAGGGAGGGAGTCAGAGGCTGGGTGGCAGGGAGGGAGGGAGGGAGGGCATCAGAGGCTGGGTGGTAGGCAGGGAGGGAGGGCATCAGAGGCTGGGTGGTAGGCAGGGAGGGAGGGCATCAGAGGCTGGGTGGTAGGCAGGGAGGGAGGGCATCAGAAGCTGGGTGGTAGGCAGGGAGGGAGGGCGTCAGAGGCTGGGTGGTAGGCAGGGAGGGAGGGCAGCAGAGGCTGGGTGGTAGGCAGGGAGGGAGGGCATCAGAAGCTGGGTGGTAGGCAGGGAGGGAGGGCGTCAGAGGCTGGGTGGTAGGCAGGGAGGGAGGGCATCAGAGGCTGGGTGGTAGGCAGGGAGGGAGGGCAGCAGAGGCTGGGTGGTAGGCAGGGAGGGAGGGCATCAGAAGCTGGGTGGTAGGCAGGGAGGGAGGGCGTCAGAGGCTGGGTGGTAGGCAGGGAGGGAGGGCAGCAGAGGCTGGGGTGGTAGGCAGGGAGGGAGGGCGTCAGAGGCTGGGTGATGGTAGAACACTTTGATCTCCATAACACTTCGTCCAAGAGAAATTATAGGAGCTGAATTTGCTCCCCTGCGCCTCTGGTCTTAACAAATAATGGCTGACCACCTCACCACCACTGATGCCTTGGCTCTCCTTGTCCAATGTCAATAAGTGATAGAAGGGTCACATTTACTTTATTGCTCTCCTTGTCCAATGTCAATAAGTGATAGAAGGGTCACATTTACTTTATTTTGGTATTGATAATTAAGTTAATTCAAATGAAATGTTTTTATGATGGTAAAAGTTCAAATACATATGTATTTAAGAATAATTCCCGACAGAATACCTGGTGAATTTATAGTACTATGTGGCAATGATATCCCTTTTTCTATTGACAGAAAATTCCACTACAAGCTACATTTTCTATGGGTAACTTGTGTATACAACACAGCAGCAATATTATCTGCATATTGTATGTAATATTATTAAATGGTGTCAGGTTGTCCGACACAAGTTTTGTCTCCGTGAGTGCAACAATTTCTTGTGTCTGCAGCTATATTACATCACTTAACTCCAGTGTCTTCGATCTCACTCCATCTATGTTGGTGTATGCAATCTTCAGGAACTTGTTCCCCCTCTCCTTATTCTTCACTCCCCCTCTCTCTATTGATTTTGTTGGTTTGCCTTTATGTACCACTTTACTGGTCTGCCTACCCCTATCACTTTGTAGAAAAAAGAATTGATTTCTTCTTCATTCCTGCTCTCATTTAAACTTTTTGCCTCGGCGAGGTTCAGTTTCAGCTTCTCTCTGTCTTCTTTTGAAAGATGTCATCTTAACGACCACACTTTCCCATCCTCATCACTTTGTAATTTTCTGGCATTCCTTAGTACTTCTTCCATCTGTTTGGCACCGTTTAGGGTGATCCTCAAAGGTCGATCTTTCCCTTTTACGTATTTGTCTATTCTCCTGTAGTCGCACACATTCTCTATGGTTGTAAGACCTTCCACGATGCCAACAATTTTATCTACTACTATGGCTTTTTCTACAGCTCTTTCTGACCTAGATGTTATCTCCTTTTCTTTGCAACCAAAAATTATCAGGGATTTGCTCCGATCAACTGTGTTTTGCACCAACTTCGGGTTAGATGCCAATTCCTTTCTCACTTCCTGCCTAATGTTTGTTTTATCTTGGTTGCTGCTGTGTTTGACTTCCTTTACTGCTTCTTCTATTTTTTCCTTCTCCTTGGCCACTTGTGCATAAGTGAGTTGCATATCTTTCTTGCACTGTTCTATTCCCTGTGTAACTTCCTCCATCTGTGCTGACAAAAGCTGTTTCTCCTGTTGAATTTCCTTACCTAACCTATTGTAGTCATTTATGTTTAAATTTACTTTAACTTCTTCCAAAGCTATTTTTAAGAGTTTATTTTCTTCTTCCATGGCTTTGCAATTTGTTTCAATTGATTCTTATCCTTGCACAAGTCTTTCACTAAACCCTCAAGACATAAAACTTTGCTATTCAAATGGTCATTACTTTCTTTCAATTTACTAATTATTTCTATGTGAGAGTTCACTATAGTATCTAATTTTACCAACTTGTTATGTAGACTGCTTATATCAACGCTTTCTTCATTGAATCTTGCAAAATCAAGCTCTGTTTTGTTTTCCTCATGCCGGCGGCCATCTTGAATGTTCTTGTCTGCACTGGAAACACTAGGGCAACTTTTTCTCATTCAATTTTTCACTTCCCTTAGCACATTCATGTTATCTCACCTATTTTTCAAAACCACTATACCTTTATGTTCTCTGGGACACCACTCACTATCACCAACCTGTACTACAATACTAAGGATTGTGGAAATATGCTGGAGCTCCTCTGATGCAAGTGTTGACCCTAGGGGTGTCACCTTTTGAATGTGTGTGTGTGTGTAATTACCTAAGTGTAGTTACAGGATGAGAGCTACGCTCGTGGTGTCCCGTCTTCCCAGCACACTCTGTCATATAACGCTTTGAAACTACTGACGGTCTTGACCTCCACCACCACCTCACCTAACTTGTTCCAACCGTCTACCACTCTTTTTGCGAAGGTGAATTTTCTTATATGTCTTCGGCATCTGTGTTTAGCTAGTTTAAATCTATGACCTCTTGTTCTTAAAGTTCCAGGTCTCAGGAAATCTTCCCTGTCGATTTTATCAATTCCTGTTACTATTTTGTATGTAGTGATCATATCACCTCTTTTTTTTCTGTCTTCTAGTTTTCGCATGACCCTTCTGTGCATATGTTCTGCAAGTGAGTTGGTGCGGTCTGGCGTCTCCTTCGTACAGGCGCTGTTTCGTTTTTAGGGGGTACAAATGGGAGTACATACGTACATGAGAACATAGAAAATTCAAACAGGGGTGCCTGCAGAGAGGCTATTGGCCCATACGTGGCAGCTCTTGTTTCTAACCACCCGCTTAGATGCCTCTAACCTCTCCTCGTAGCTCTTGCCCTCAGTTCTGGGAGCCACTTAGTAGCATGTCTTTGCACCTTTTCCAGTTTGTTGATGTGCTTCTTAAGATATGGGCACCACACAACTGCTGCATATTCTAGCTTTGGCCTAACAAAAGTCGTGAACAATTTCTTTAGTATATCGCCATACATGTATTTAACCCTTTAACTGCGCAACGCGCCTGCAGGCCCAGGCTTCGGGTGCGCAACGCGCCTCCAGGTGTTTTTATTTTTCACGTTCCATTCAAAACTTTCGCTGCTACATGGAGTTCACATCAGCTTCCTCAGGGCTCTTGTAAACAGACGCCATCTTTAAAAAAAATCATGGTCCACATTGCTGGGTGTCAGAGCCTCAGTAGTGAGTGAGTAACCAAGGCTGGCGCTCGCAGTATGAATGCACAGCACTGCTGTTCAGCGTGTGACCACAGCATTGCCTAATATTGTCAAAATATATATATAATCTGTTTTCCTGTTAATCACGTGTTTATTTTCGTGATATACACTCATAATCTGTTTTATTTAGCCATGATAGTATTAAAGAAGAGCCTGAGTGTGATAATGACTGGGTACAATATTCAAATATCAGTGATTCAATGCTGTTCACGATGTTCACAGCGCTAGCCACAGCACCACAGCATTATTCATCCATCTAGGAATCTTCAAACGACTTTTTAGGTTGGTGAGTACAATGGGAGGATCCCAGAGACCTGGCACGACCCTTCCAGGAAGACCACCCCACAGGCCCCCTGAAGAGCCAACATGGGACAACAACAAGAAGCTGCTGCCTGCAAAAACTGCACCACTGCAAACTCTGCAAACAGCAAATGACAAAAAGGTGTAGAAAACCTAAGAGCCAGAGCCCAAGCGGATTCTAAGGCTTGAGCGAGCACTGCCTGACGGCACACGAGATGAGAGGCAAAGAACAGAGACTGCCTCCCTAAGGATCAGCGTAAGCAGCTTTAACAAGGCATCCGAGGCCAGCTCACCAGACTTAGGATCAACACCCAGCGCCTCGACGTTCTCCTCAAGCCAGTCCAAAGCCAGCTCAAGAAGGGAAAAAAAACGCAAGACCGAAGCCAAATGGTCACGGGGCACACAAGTCCTCAGGTACCAGGGCGTCCAATAGGGAGGGGACCTGCATGTGAAGCTGTACCAGGCTGACATCCCGAGGAAGGGCAGGTGGCAAACATGCATTGAGGTGTTCAAACTTGCCCCCCAGGTAAACCTGAACAACCGTAAGGGCCTCTCATAACTCAAACATGTGGGGCTGACAGAACGTATGCCATACCCCCGATGAAAAGACAGGATAGTCTGCCAACCAGGACGACTCCAGAACCTCGTAACGCACCCAGTAAGGAAAGTAAGAACCAAACTCAAAAAAGACAGGATCCATTATCGAGGTGTAATCTCGGTCGCGCAGGAGGCCTCATTGGCCTCCCACACCTCATTAGGCAGGATTCGAGAGGTCGAAAACCTCTGGAAAGAATGGACCAAAGTACCCAAGGGAACCTGGAACTGAAGCTGTGGAGAGGTACAAGCCCCACTCAGAGAGTACCAAAACCCAAGCTGGGTCAAATGAGGCCCATGTCCCCCCCCCCCCCAAGTCATCCCCTCCCCCTGCCCGGGAACCTCCACACCAGGACTCGAAGTCAAGCTGTTCTCCAAACCTTATTCCTCAAAAGAAAAGGCAAAAGTCCACCAGAAAAACTGGAACAAAGGGAGCCCCACTGGTCAGACCCAGAAGCACCAGCTGGAGGAATTGGCTGGAGTCTCACTACCTAATAAACCCAGCCCCGACTCCAAAACCCTCAGGCGCGCTTCGGGGCTGGGTGCAAGGGGAGAGGAATAAGACGAACAACAACAGGAGGAGGACAAGGGGGCACGGACGAAACCTAAATAGAGGGAACTAACACCCAACAAGTCAGAGTCCCTATAACCAAAATGGGGCAGTCTCGGGGCATCCGGGTGAGCAACTAACCTGGCACGCTGTAGCAACCTGTAACTCGCATGCAATGCCGAAGCTGCTTGCACCCAAATATCAGTGGATTGGATGAACTGGAATACAAGCAAGGAACACCACTCGCAGGACTCTGAGTCGAAGGTGTCACCGACCCAACAGGCAGCATGACGGAGGCACAACAGGTAATTGTCACCCTGAGACAAGGGGACAGAGCAACTCTCAAACTCGCATGAAGTGAGGTGGGACCCAGGGGACGCAACCATCGGACCACTGAGCCCCAATGGGGGTTTCCAGGGCCCTTAGATGCTCTGCTAAGGGAAGCCCAGGCAAGGTACTGCTAACCAGCACCCCAAACTACCAAGCGAACTACTAATAGCTGAACCCCCGGGATGTGTACACTCACGGGGACCTAGTGGAGGACCAGCAAATTATTAGAAAGGGTACCAACACCAAGGGGGCAGACCCCAACCAGGCAGGAAACAAATAGTAAAAGAAAACCCCCACAAAAGGACAAAAACCCCAGGCAGAACTGAACCGGCAGCTATAATATGGTGAAAACTAGCTGTACAGTACCTGGCATCCCTACTTGTGACGAAACTACCTCCTACCCAGAGACAAACAGTGGTGCATGAAACACCCCAGCTGACTCCAAGGGCGGTCAATCACCGAGCAGTAAAAGATCCCACAGAGGCAAACAGTGGTGCATGAAACACCCCAGCTGACTCCAAGGGCAGTCAATCACCGAGCAGTAAAGATCCCACAGAGGCAAACCCCAAGGAACTTGAGGAAGATAACTCCAAGCCACAAGGGCAGTACTTATAGGGCACTTACGGAAGGAAACCCTAGGCGCACGCAGCCCAAGTAGTTGTGAAATTACCCCTGGCTCACACACAATCATAGGACAGGACCACACCACATGGCATTGCACTGGAAAATGTCTGGAGCCAGAGTTGCAAAACTGCCAGGTCTCATATAAACCACAGAACTGAGGGTGGATAGCTCGCATGGGGGATCTGATGCTCCCCCTTCCCCTCCTCCTGGGGAGGCAGGGAGCGGCGCAGACAGTGGCGTGACGTCATGCTCGTTTGCTTGTTTTTAGTTTGGGGAGTTCTGTACAACAGTTCGGCTTTTAGTAGCAAATTTTAACAAGATAGGGTTTGTTTTGGGGGTGCCTACCTTCCTGGGTGCCTGACCCAGTCAATGGTAGACATAGAATGCTTCCAACCACACGGGGGTTTCTATAGGCCATTGTTCCTCGTGCCTTTCTGAGGGGGCCAGGTTCTGGCTTGTGGTCCCTGGTAGGCCTAAGAACTCCATTCACTTAACTGATGCTAGGGTCTAATATATTCATATCAGCACAGATAGCTCTGGGGAGCTGAATGGGGCTCCCCCCAGAAAAGCGGATTTTTATTGATTAAATTAAGTAGTTTCGTGGGAAGTATAGATTGGACTGATTTAAACATGGGACATGGGCTGTTCTTGGAATGCAAAATGAACCTGGCAGTGGGTGATGTGACAAAGGATTATGATGTACATTAAAGTTATAACGTATTTAAAAAAAATTGTAAAGCTCATGAACATAAGAGAGACCAATGAACACAAAAGGCAAGTGAAACTAAATTTTTATTTAGTAAGAACAGCACAGTATACCTATAAATTGATTTGATAAAATAACATTACCCCAAATTGATAATTATTATCCTAAAGAACCATATACTGTACGTTAAAAGAAAGCTTTATACAAAAGATTGATTGGAGAAGTCAATCTAGGTCGACAATTCATTTTAACTACAGTCCACTCTCTTTTATCTGGATTATATAAGGCCCACCCCTCACCAACTAAGCCAGACATCCAGATAAGCAGGAATTCTTACCAGGAAAGTCTAAAAAATTAACACATTCACAATTTTTTAGGGGCCTTGGCTTAATGCACATTTTTTGTTCCATCTTCCTTTATTACAGTAATTGTAGTCTAAATTTTTTCCACAGGTGCTTTTGGAGGCAGGATGCCTTGAGTGGAGCGTGGTTGTTGCTGTGGTGTTAAGAGATGCCCTGGCAGTGTTGCGTGTCGTGACTCTGGCTCGAGCCTCGGATATTCCTGCTCAAGTTATATTGAGACTTACTGCAGGGCTACAAGATCTGTTGCATTTTACAAACACTGAATGGTGTGTATTATTCCTAAGCAATTTATTCACTATTGTAGTAATATTATTACTAAGTAAATTATTCTATATTTTTATAGTTGTACCTATATCAATATTTCAACCAATGCCACATTATTACCTGATACTGATACTCTGATACAACTAAGATACTTTCCAATACACTGGGGCCTCGATTTATGATGGTAATCTGTACCCAGGGACATATCATAAGTCGAAATATCATAGTCGAAGCAATTTTTCCCATAAGAAATAAAGGGAATTGGATTAATCCGTTCCACACCCCCAAAAATATTAACTTAAAAAAATACATTTTATACTGAATACAATTTTTTTTCTCTAACTACAATGCAGTACATATGTTTATCTTACCTTTATGGAGGACTCTTGATGGAGTATGAAAGATGGTGATGAGGGGGGAGGAGGAGAGGTGTTACTGTTTGGAAGGGGAGTCCCCTTACATTATAACATCAGGCAGTGATGACTTCTCTGGAGTACACTCTCTCCTACGTTTTGCCTGCATACCACTAGGACCTGGTTGTGGTTCACTGCTTGTTTGTCTCACTAAAAAGCTTTCCATAGATTTTTGTTTTCCATACACTTAAATTTTTGTCTGTAGTAAGGCATTACAGTGTCATTAACCCTTAAAGTGCGCATCACTTCATATGAAGTGTAAATCGTTTTACCAGTCAACTGAGCTTCACTTCATATGAAGTGTATGGGTACCGCGCACGATTTGAATGGCCCGCGGTGTAGCTGGGGGTCCCATACGCTGCCCAGGGGCTCTAGTAAACAGCGGCCATTTTGAAAAAAAATCCAGCTCACGCTCCGATGGCATGGGAGGCCTCAGTTTAGCGAGAGTCACCATGGCGAGCGCACGGTCAAACGCCTCACGAGCACGCATCACTCAGTCCCTCACCCCAGAGCAAATAGCCCACGAATTATTCTCTGAAGGTGAAGAAAGTGTGTTTGACGATTCAGACAACGATGAGGATTATACACAGTTGTCGGGAGATAGTAGCAGCAGCAGTGAAAGTGAGAATGACCGCCATGCCATGGCGAGGCCTATACGCTCTCCCATGCCTCCTCGCCCATTTTCTACCCCAATTCTACCACGACCTCACAGTTCCTGTGGATATTTTCTGTTTGAGGGTGACGAGTCAGAGGGAGGTGACTCCTTTTCTGGGTTTAGTGACTCAGATCAAAGTTTTATTGAGCCTGTGGCTGGTACCAGTGGTGTAACTGGGCGAGAAATTGTCGCGTCAGCAGCATCTCGCCCAGCCAAGCGCCACCGCATGGCACCATATGAGGGACCAAGACCCTCGTGTTCACGTGCACCCACCTCACGTGCACGTAGCCGCCGTGCTTCTCGCAGACGGTATTCAGCTCCTGGTCGCCGGTATGCATCACTTCCTCGCCGTCTTTCCTCTGCATCTCGCAGGACGCCTGGTGTACTTGAGTGGAGTGATGGTGACGATTTTATTCCTAATATTCCTCACTTTGACGATAAAGATATAGGGATTACAAACCTTTTCCCTAATCAAGGTGAGGACATGGCTGAGATGGAATATTTTACAGCATTCTATGATGAACCACTCATGGAATACATTGTACACCAAACGAACCTGCATGCTGCTTACCTGATTGAGAGGGAAATCACAGAATTTTCACGACTGCAGCGTTGGAAAAATACCACAGTGGCGGAAATGTATGTGTTTTTGGCACTCTGTTTGTTGATGAAGCACTGTCACAAACATGCAATAAATGACTATTGGAGCAAGGACAAGACAATACCAACACCTTTATTCGGGAAATATATGTCACGAGACAGGTTTCAGATACTCCTCAGGTGTCTACATTTTGGAAGTGTTCAGGACCGAACACCTGATGATAGACTGTGGCGAGTGAGGCACTACATGAACGATGTTATTGGAAAATTCAGAGATTTTTACGTACCAGCACAGAAGCTGGTGGTTGATGAATCTCTCATACTTTTCAAGGGACGTGTTCCATTCAAACAGTACATTCCCTCAAAACGAAACCGATTTGGCCTGAAATTTTTTGTTCTTTGTGATTGTGAGACAGGATACGTGTTACACATGATTCTGTACTCGGCTAGTGATGTAGACATTCCCGGTAACGACGAACATGGATTCTCGGGGAGTGTAGTGAAGACCATCATGGCTCCGTGGATGAACAAGGGACACATTTTATACACAGATAATTACTATACAAGTCCCTTGCTAGCTCGGTTCTTGCTAGAAAATAGAACCGGATTGGTTGGTACAGTAAAGCCACAACGAAGGGAAATGCCTGTGTTTGACAACGACATTGCAGTTGGTGAGTGTCAGAGAAGGAAAAGTGATAACATTCTGTCAGTTCGGTGGAAAGACAAAAGAGAGGTGAACTTGTTGACAACAATTCATGATGGAACAATGGTGAACAGTGGGAAAGTGAGCCATAAAACAAACGCACCACTATATAAGCCAGACTGTGTTTTAGACTATAATATCAACATGCGGTTGATTGATAAATCAGACATGATGATTGGCACTGCAGAGTGTGTGCGGAAGACATGTAGGTGGACGAAAAAAGTGTTCTTCCATCTTGTGGACATGAGCATGCTGAACTGTTTCAACATGTACCTTGTGAGAACTGGACGTAAGCCCACTTTCCGTGACTTTGTATTTGATGCTGCAATACAGTTATTAGGAAAGTTTGCAAAAGATGTCCCAGGTATTCAGCGGCCCATCATAAACCCACTGTTGCAGCATGCTGGTACTCCACGCCTCGCTCACACTGAAGGCTTCCTAGCACACAAACTTAAGTATTTGCCACCTGGTGTGAAGCGTGCAATAGCCCAACGTGATTGCTTGGTGTGTAAAACAACGACACGTAGAGACAAGAAACGGAAGCTTGTGCAAACATGGTGTGAAACGTGTGGTATCCCATTATGTGCTGTCGACTGCTTCAATGACTACCACAGTCTAGAAATCTTCTAAGTGTGCTTCAAAGTGTGTATAGCGTGTGCGAGTGTGTAAATATGTAAACATATAAGCAGAACATATAATATAATAGACTGTAATGACATATTATATTGCCGTAATTGAAAACATTTGTGTGCGCCTGTGTATACTCAAATATGCAACAATTATTGATACAAAATATGTTCAAACAGTATTTGAAACACAATTAGTGAAAAAAAATTAGATAAAATGCGCTTAGACATTGTAAATAAATAGCGCGAAAATATATTTGTGGCAACTCTGGCTGTTTGAGGACCGCGCGCAACATCTCCCGGGCGTGTACTGCATGAGCGACCATGCAGATTGTGACGTCATCGCAGAGCTTCTCGGCTCTATTGCAACAAAAGTAAGTACAATAGAATTTTTTTTTTATTTTTCCCGTGATCAGTGAACAGAACTTAACAGATTAGCAAAAAAAAAAAATTTTTTTTTTTTTCAAAATGACATGCGCCTGTGTGGATAGCAGGATATTAGACCCCGAGCATGTTAAGGGTTAAAAAGGTTAAGGCAATGGCCTACTGCACCGTGATTTGGGTGAGTCATTTCAGCAATAGTTTGCAAATCTTCCCATGCTGCACACATTTTCTTAATTAATGAGGAAGGGACATTTTGTGCTGTCTCCTCCTCCCCCCTGAAGAAAATTCTTCAGCTGTCTCTTGTTCCTGCTCCTTGTGAAGTTCTTCGATGGTCAGTTCTTCGCTGTGTTCCTCCACCAGCTCGCAACACACAACACTTGGATCACTATGAATGCCACCTCTTTTTCTAAATTTCTCAAACCATTCCCTGCTCGCCTTAAACTCTTTCGCATTTGCATCACTCGTTCCAGGGGTTTTCTTTAAAAGGTAGTCATGCAATTTCCTTGCTTTTTCATATATGATGGCCTCTAAAACTCTATCACTCCGCTAACTCCTTGCTGTGTATCCAAATTAATAATAACTTCAACATCCTCAAGTGTTTGTGTGCTATGTTTCGTGATTATTGATACGCCTTTTGCCACTTTAGCACTCATAATGCCCTTTTTCTTAGCAAGTATGGTGGATATCGTTGACTGAGATTTGTTGTACTGCCTAACTAGATCAGCTACCTGCACACTATCTTCATATTTACTAATGATCTCTTGTTTTTGCTCTATGGTCATCCTTACATGTGTTTTCATATGTTGAACCTTACCACTGACTTTCTTGGGACCCATGGCGTGATATATAATAATCAGTTTTATGTTCAAAAAGCAAAAAATCACCAAAAAAATAGAATTTCTTTCAAGCGTGATCGTCACTAAGCGGGCGGCTCAAGTAAACTGAGGCAGGTCAGTCCTCGCGACCGGGAACCATGCGCTCGGTCGATCCAAACGTGTATCAACAAATATCGTTAGTCAACGACACTATTGTAAGTCGAGTCGCATTTTCCGATCAAATTTATATCGTAACTTGAAATTATTGTAAGTCGGGACAATTGTAAGTCGAGGTGCCACTGTACTTAACAGTATCGCTTGTTTTGGACACCGATTACGTCCATTATTTTTTTTTTTGAGTCCTAGCCGTGGACAGGACTCGTGTCCACTACAAAAATATTTGTATAAAATTCATTTTTTATCCGATCAACCTCGGGATAGTTTCAAAATAAGCGCTTTTAGAATGCACACAATTTGATACAAAAATGAAAGATGTAACACGAAACTTGATGTCAGAACACTTGAAAGATTATAAATATACTTTTCTGTGGGGAGGCCTTACGGCTCCCTGGAGTTTATCAGGCTAATGTATGTTATATTAGACCGGGACATTAGCTAAGGAGTTCAGACCTACCAGGGACCAGCGCCAGAACCTGGCCCCTTCAGAGAGGTTTCAGGGAGCAATGGCCCTGGAAAACCGCTTTGTGGTTGGGGTTTTCCTTATCTGCCATCGACCGGGGTTAGGCACCCAGAAAGGTAGACATAACAAAACAAACCCCACATGGTAAAAACCCAAAACAAAAAAC